GGGCAGCCTGAGCCGGCACCGCCCAGCAGAACAATAGGCACGGCTACTACTAACACTGAACTCATGCAAAAGCGGTCCTGCAAAGTAGAGGGCAAAACAGAGGGTTAATGACACGCCAACGGCTGCGCAGGACGCACGCCTCCTGGTCACACTGCAAAGTAACAGAACCCAATGTTATTCTCTCCAGCCAGAGACCTGGGGGAACAAGTCAGGAGCGAACCTGTCAAAGCAAAGCTGCGCGGTCATCCCGGTGTCAACAGTGCTAACTGCGCGGAGGAGCAGTCCCCCTCGCAAAGGAGGGCGGGAGGCGGAGGGAGGGCTCATCCGGAGAGCAGTGCGGTGGGAGCAGAGGGGTTCGCGGGGAGAGTCCCGAGCAGGAAGGCCCAGGAGGCCCGACCTGGCCCAGCCACCCGAGGAGCAGGAGCAAGGAGAGAGCCAGTTCAGAAATGAGAAAACAGCGGTTGGGGGCTTGGTTGTTGTTGATCCTGAAAATTAAACAGTGGAATTAAAGTCTTAGTTAAAACCCTCACAGAGGAAAGACAGTTCTGGATCCCTTGCCTGTGAAAAGCAAAGCTGAATTATAAAGCCGAAGGACCATCTGCTCTTCAGACGGCAGTGTGAGCTCGCACGCACACAGAAGCCCTGCGGGGTGTGTCCGGCCTCCTGCAGGACACAAAGCGATGTGGACAGTCCTGAAGCAGCAGCGCCCATGGTGCTCGCCTCGGACTGGAAGCAGCGGGAGGGAGCCCTGCTGAAACAGGCGAGGCAGCTGCCCAGAGGGTATTCAACAACTAAACACCGAGTATGTGCAAATAATACACCTGTCCACTCTGCAGAACCCACTACAATTTAAAAACCACATAACGTTTCTTCATAAAGGGCCTGTACTTTTCTGCATACCTTTTAAAATTAGTAAAATAAAGCAAGGCAAAACACCCAACATGGGGGCCTTTCACATCTCAGTGTTAGAAGTAAAAGCGCCTCACTAAAAGCGCTGCTCCAGCTGCCCACCCGACTTAAAGGACTTCCTGCCAAAACACAGCCCAGAAAAGAGTTAAGGTTGTAAATATTCTCTGGAAAAGGAGGTCACTCTGCGTAAAACCAACAACCCTTCCCAACCATCCATCAGCGGAAGGTACACCTGGGATCCAATATGAATCAGTGGGTTTTGCTTTGTTTCTAGTGCACAAAACCATGGCACTTTAAGTGATAAAAATCAAATACTAGTAGGTTGCAAAAGAACCTTACACAAAAATCCTTAGGATTTAATAGTAAGTCAAGGCCACACGCCTTTGGAGAGTTCTTATGTAAGAGTGTCCAAATCACACTTCATTCACAAATTTTAAAAATAGTTGAAAAGATCAACTGAAATGTTCATTAAATAAATAAAAAAAATCTAAACTCCTAATTGATCTGACTCTGTGGCCTCCTTCCTGGGGTGGGGGGTGGGGGTCTCCTGTCCCATCTCCTCCCCCCAGCCCTCCCTGTTAGTGGATCCCCCTTTAGAACACATCACAGAAATGTGTGAACCACCAACAACACCGTAAGTATTTCTCCAAATCAACAATCACACAAGGGGAGGGCTCTACTGACAGAGGG